TTCTCAGTCATGGATAAACACACACATACACACACACGCACACACACTTGAAACATGCACAGTCAAGATGTCGATGCAGCACTTCATTTTCCATGCAATGTCAAATTCATGCTAATAAACTAATTTGAATATTAAAATGTATTTAAGTTATTGTAACTTGCTTGCTTTCTTAGGAAAGTGAAATTTAAGCCACGTGATAGCAAAGTCAATGCTGCAAACACAAGCAATAGTTTCACAGACACTTTGTACCAATGAATTCAGCAAATTATTTAAAACCTAAAAATCCACACACTGATCAGATCAGATTGATTTGTTCTATCACTGTCACAAGTCCTTGCACGAGTGCCAGTTTTGTGTTAATAAAGAGAAGGAAATAAGGAGGAAGATGTTGATGAAATGCACCAAATTTAATTGAGACAGGCTGACATGGACACTGTACAGAAATGAAAAAAAAATCTAAGAATGGTAGACAATCAAAGACAGAATGTAAAATAGACAGCAGAAAGCTGGTAGGTCAGAAAGGGGCAGAGACAGACAGGGAGGCAGAGACATTGGGCACTCCAGCAAACCTGATTATGACTGGATGTGAATTAGATTCCCTAACAGATGGTCCAGGAGCGAGGCTGAAAGGTGCAGCAGCCAGCAGTGAGGGTAGGGAAGGGGGGATGGGCAGGAGGGAAGAGAGGGAAGATCAGGAGAGGAGGCAAAGGGGATGAGTGTCAACAGAAGCTGGTGAAGTTACAGTTCAATTCAATTCAAAACGTGCAATAGCTTTCATATTACTATTTAATGAATTTGGGTAATGTTCCAGCATTTTTTAAAATTTTTATTTCACATAATTTACAACATTGACTTTCTTATTTTGACCCTCAGTACCTGTCACGTAATGTCACCATCCGGTAAACGTAATGAACTGGCTGGATCGTCACCAGTCACTGCATTTGTATACGTATCAGTGTAGTTTATAGAATATTGAATTCTGAATTGAGAAGTAAGCACTCAGCCTGTTTAGGACGGATGTTCTCGATTTTTTTATTTTTTCAGATGCTGTGCATTATTGTACATACTCTAGTGCTGCTTCTCTCTCTCCCTGTGATGGATAGGTGCAAATCATCACAATCCTGTAGTGACAGCCCAATTTCCCCAAATCTGATCTGCTTAAAGAATGCAGCTTTGACTCTCTACTCGCTTATGTCTCCTCTCCTTTCCCACATTTCCTTTTCTCCTTTTTTTACCACTTTTTCCCCCTCTGATCAAGCACCACTTTACTTCACTCTCTCTCTCCCTCTCTCTCTCCCTCTCTCTCCCTCTTTCTGTCTCTCCTCTCTTTTGCAGCATTGCGCTCTCTGTTCCCATTCCCTCCTTGTCTGTTCCCCCCCCCCCCCTCTCTCTGCCTCCGTCCCATGTCACATTTGAAAGCCCTGTCATATTTACTAGAGTGGAAATCCTCTTTCACCATCTGCTTAATAAAATGTGTTTTTAATCCGATGGGGGATATTTTGGTTTTTTTTAAACACTTTATTATTACCTCTGCGCAATATCGTTTGATACGGCACCTTGCCCCGCTTTCTATCTGTCTGAGTATGAGAGAGAGAGAGAGAGAGAGAGAGAGAGAGAGAGAGAGAGAGAAGGAGAGCTGTACGTCTCACTGTACATGAATGGTCAAATGTGTACATGGGCGATTGTGTATTTGTGTGTGTGTGTGTGTGTGTGTG